TTAAGTTATTTTAATATAATAATGCATACAATTTGATAACAATTTAGTGAGAATTCATTCTAAAAGAATAAAATAAATAATATTTATTTTATTTTTAATGTTTTTGATAAAATTTTTAGAGTAAAAAGAATAATAAAACTATACAAATAATTAATAAGAATAAAAATGTATGACAAAAAAAACCAATCTTTTCAATTTCAAAAATAATATAAGGAGAATTTTTTTAAGATCTGATAAGTGAATTAAATCATATTTTTCAAAGGCATTTTTCTTGTTTTTAGAGCATTTAAACCAGTTCCCTAGTTGCTACTAAGTTTTTATAGAAATATTGTACGATAACTCAGAAGAATGTAAAGCTTAAAATAGTTTAGTTTTTATATCTTCGATTCAGTAAGCTGAATTCTACAGTTATTTATTTTACCTATATTATACATTAGAATTTCATTTCATAAATTTATCTAAAGATATCTAAAATTTTAAGGACTCTTTCAATTATAACATAAGGTTTTCCGACTTTAGTTTATGATATGAGATATTTGTTATATTTATATTTTCAATCCAAAAACTTATACAAATAAAATTAAAATAATTCTGTATAGTTAATTAATGAGTTATGAGTTATAACAATAATATGATGAAATGGATGAATGKGACAATTGTTAAACCTTTTTAAGAAAAAAATTGATTTTATCGATTTTATATCATAAATAGTATTACATCAATTTACAAGTATAAATATTTTAACTCTTAGATTTGGAAGAAGTAGATTTTTGTGTTGGTCATCAATATATAACAGGGGTGGCCAAACCGCGGCTCGCGTCATAGACTTTTGCCGCTCGCATCTTATCGTAACATTAAAAAAAAAAAAATTTTTACAATAATACAATATCATATATATGAATATATATATAACAATTATATAATAATATGATCTTTTTTTTTTTTTACATTTTGGCTCTTCCATATTTATTAATATATTTGGTGGCTCGCAAGTCTTTTCTCGCTGGTCACCCCTGATATATAATAACTGTACTTGGATATTTATTTTACTTCAACATTAAGGGTAGTTTCTGATATCATATTTGACACTGTTAGTAATATTGGGAAGCAGGGGGGGGGTCTTAAGTAGAAAAACCAGAAATTATATACAACAAAAATGTATTTGTCTTGATTCATGAAACATTTTAAACACAACTAATTGTTGTTGCTTGTCAGTAGTTCTTTCAGCAGAATATCTAAGGTTTGAAAATCATACATAAACAATAATATACAGTTATTATGGTATGATTGAAACTTTAAAAGTTAGTTTTTATTATTCTGTTTAATAAGCATTTGAAGTTAACACTTAAACATAATTTTTAAGTACACCTAAACCATTTAAACCTTCAAATAATTTACGAGGAAAATAAAAATGCATAGAAATTACTATTTAATAATAGAACAAATTGAAAAATTATTGTAGTTGAGATCACTGCTAAAAATAATATTTCTAATATCTTCAGTAATATCATCTCTGCATAAAATTGTTTTTTTTTTTTTTTTTTGTATACAGTATTAAATATTGTTTATTTTATAATGAAGAAATACTTTAATTCTAAATTGAGTTTTTTTTTTAGCATCTACAAAAGTGTATGAATGCATAATTCAATTAAAATATAATATTTAAAAAAAAAAAAATGAACATAATCTATTAAAATTTGTTAGATAGTATTTCCTTGCCAAAAGTTTGTGATAAAGATATTCAGGTCAAGAGGTAGTCAGAGAAAAAAAATCCAGGAGTACTAAAACGAAACAACTTGTGATGGTGATTCAAAAAATTTGAATGAAATATTTTGAAAAATATATAATTTACAATGTATTTTAAATAGGTGAAAGATATTGCATTCAATACGTAAAAAAAAAAGTTTTACGTATTAAGTTTTCATTTTTTAGAATATTGATCAAACATTTAATTTACGGAATATAATATATTGTATGAGTACCAATAACCAATATCCATAGACTTCTTAATAATTCTTTAAAGAGCAGTTTTCAAAACTTTTTGTGTTATATAGTACTATAATCTTAAATTCTTAACACATTACTATAAATTATATTCACATTTTTAAGTTTACCTTTAAAAACATAATTTTAAAATAATTATAATAATACTAGTCAGGTATTGCTTTATTTTTAAGGTTGTATTTCTAGTATATCATAAAACTTAAATTTTGTTTTAGGTTAATATAAATCAGTATTATAATACTTACTTTAATATAAGGACACTCTAAATCTGTTAAATGAGTGCCATCA